GCTCATTGTTTAAACATTTTCTAAAAGTTTGTTTAAAATTTATTTCCGGCCTGTTCGACAATACATGTGGTTCAGGGGTGTTGTCCCTAGTTGTTAGGGCAAAATCGGTGTTAATGTTTATGATTATTGACAGAAAGTGCTTATATTTCATACTGTTACAGTGTGGAAATGGGAGGAAGTAGTGTGTTGGTTGCGTGTTGTAGTGTGAAAGTGGAAGGGAAATGAATAAATCTATGAATTTTCTGGAAGTGCGATCAAGATCTTCTACATGCAGTAAATATGATCTCGGTACTGCTGATGGCCTTGACTCTCCAGCTGATTTCAGACGAATGGAACGGACAGAAGTAAGCGAAACAATGTTCGTCCGACAGTCGATGTTTTCGGATGCCGTCGGAAGTTCACGATGTCCATTTCCGTTTATCAGCACGTGTTTGAACGAATCTCACTCGTCGGACGAAAACGCCCGACGTCGAATTGATGAAATTTCGGGCAAAGTAAGCTCCACAAGGCTTTGGTGACAGCGCAGCCGACTCGGTCGTTCACTACCGGACGGGAAATGTAACTTCAAATTAACTTTACCCCATAGCACGTCACACACAGTTTTTAACTGTTTTTATTATTGACCTAAAAAAATAAATCAGTAGGCAACTGCCAACGAAATCGACCGACACTGTAACTTATAATTAACAAGTGGAGGGGAATCTGTCACCACCACTTTTGCATCTTGCTTTCTAATTGTTTATAATTGAAAACAATTGTCTTAACATTGGTAAAAATTCTAATATAATTATAGAGTGTTACTGTTGTTTGTTTTGGTTGTTGATGTGAAATTTTTGAGTGAAGGCGGTATCAATTTGGTGAGGTAACGGTTCTCTGATGGAGTTGGCAAGTGTGTTATTTTAGAGTTGTACTATTTGGGCTCATTTAGCAGCGGGAACAAGAGTTTGGGGATTTGCTGGTTGAGGGTAATGACATTCTGTATATGCAGGTTTGGCATGTGAAAGGTTTCTAACTTTAGCACGTGCTGGTAAATTTTCAATTTCTGAAATATGGAAATTAATGCTTTCATCGAATGTGTGTTTGTTTTGTGTTAAGGGATCAGCGAAGTGTAGTACTGTGGTAATGTTTTTTTTCCATGTCTATTCCTCTTCGTTGGTTCGTGGTATTAATATCCTGCTGCTTCATCGTATTTGTATAGCGTTGCAATTGTTGCAAGAGGTGACTCAGACAACTATATATATAGAGAGAGAGAGTCGGAATTGGCTCTTTAGTGTTGGCTAATTTTGTTTGTAGTTGTGGGCAGTTTTCATGTGTGTAGTATGGAATGTAGCGTTGAAGCAAACTTTTTGTCCGTCTCACTGTCCTCCATCCACCTCCGTAAGACTCAATCGTACGGCCGCTCCCTTCACCGGACGTACTCTTAAACAGTTCTCAGAAACCACTGAATTTTGTTCCCCTCCCAAGGCTTGTACGAACTAGTTTGCTTATACATGACAATTTTTTACGTAATTTTTTCTTAATAATTTATTTTTGTATATACTCATATAATTTTGCAGCTCAGATAATGATCATTAAGCGATTGAAAATTACGGTAATAAAATCTAAAATACATAAACAACTCGTGTTCATTAGTTTATACTAAATATGAAATCTAAGTGACCGACGAGTTATGAGTTAGAGAAACGAATGACAGAGTTCATGATATGCCAAAATTTGAAGAAGATTAAAAGACTCTGTTGACTACAGAGTTGAATTATTCACTTATATAGCATATTTAGCTGTGAGTTGGAACTTCATATACAAAATATTTGATGTTTCATAGAAAATTTAAAATAGTTGACGTTGACAGGTAATCACACTGCGGAAGAAATCTGGAAACAAAGCTGCCAGTGTTTCACATTTATTTCGATTGTCACTCGATTATTAATAGACCAGCACGTCTCGCCAAAAAGACAATTTACACTGCGAGGATTAAAATTTTGAGTTCTCTGTCTGTCTCGTCTTTATTGTGAGACGTCAGCACGTGCAAATCAAGCATCACCACAGCTCAGTAAAACTTTCACTTAATTGTACAGGACTCTCGTTTTGCATGACTGTGCTCAAATCAACTTTTGACTACAGATTGCTCTTTTGACAAGTGAAAAATTATTGGAAATTCCCCACAGAGTGGAAACTACACGACATTGGTGAAATAACATGTAATTCGAGATATTGTAGCTCATGTTTCAGCAGTTATTGTTACGGAGCTAAATCGGAAGAAATGTGAGGTCAACATAAATTTAAAATTTGAATATTACAACAATTTACAAAATTGAATAATGAAATCAAGTGTATTAATTACTAGCATTGGTTTTTAAACAGTATGAAACTACATTTCACATATTTAAATAAAACGCTTTTATGAAAAATTTGAAAGGCGTAATTTCCTTTCATATATCTTCAATAATCGAAATAAAACTATGCAGGCTTCGTCTCTGAGAGAGATGTTTGTGATTTTGATAGATTCCTAAAAAATTGGAGAAAAAATAAAGTTTTAATTTTGGCCGCAAATACAAATATTACATTTTTATTCCGCCTATTCTTTTATTGCACACATACCGACTGAATTCTGAAACGCAATGCATCGCCGAATATTCATAACCAGTGCGTCAGTGTGCGTGTTACGTTTTGATTTTTGGGTATTTATTCAACAGAATTTTTGAAGCTGAGGGCTATCAGTTTTCACTATGTCTCCGCAACAGAGGACAGAATTTTCTTTTGTAGTGCCACTACAGCCTAAAGGGAAATTATTTTCATTTTGCAACTGCGAGCGATGAGTGAACATGTCCGTAACTCCAGCGGCAGCCATTTGGGGCTACAAGTCCTTCTATGAAGATTATTTAAAAAAAAACGACTGAATTTTCTTGACACGAGGACGGCTTGCTTTAAAAAATATGCATTGAATTTTTTAAAGAGACATTTTGCAGACTCTTCTGAGTCTTTGGATTCAAATTTGTTGTTTACATTCAAACTTGAGTTCATTTGCTTCAATAACGCCAGGAACGAAGAGAGCATTCCATTTCATAAACTGTCAAGATGCAAATGATGTCCGCGTCTGAGTAGACGAAGCGAGCCTTTCCTCAGTCAATTGAAACAACCTTCACTGAATTAGTGTGTTTCTAACAAAATTTTGTAAATAAACACTGAATGAGTTTTCAAATCAAACTTACTCAAACCCACAGCATGATGATTCGATATGTAGAACGGTTTCTTTCGTAATTAAATCTTTAATAGAAGATAAATTTTCCGTGCTGGTAGGCCGTAGTCCAGTTGGCTTTGAAGAGCCAAAATTGCCCTTCAATGGCCCTTCAATGCCAACTGGACCACGGCCGCGGAAAATTTATCATCTATTGACTCCGGCCGTGAAAGCATGCGATGCTATATAAATCTTTTATATTTTTGTAATCAATGTTTTGATTTAAATGTCTGTTTATTTCAATGCATTACTCAGAATGAAAAGAAACTTCCATCCAATAAAACATGAGCAAACATACTGTGGGACATTATAATCTTGTTTTGGAGAAGGAGTTTATCACAGACTAGAATTCAAGTGGGTGTAGCAGAACTTTAGATTGCCCTTCAGTTGATATATATTATCCGCAAAACGCAAATGTATACTACACGGTTGATTTTCTGTAGTTATTTTCTGCAATATATGTATATTTGAAGTAAATGCTAGTATAAATAAAGTGGAGACTTATTACTGACATAAGAAAACCACTACACTTCGCAAACCTGCTGTTTAGTGGTTTTAAATATGCAATAGGGAATAATTCCTATTTTAAAGCGTTTCTTGTGTTGAGGTCTCACTATTCCTCAATTAACACTTTCCTCGGGTGTCAACTTTACAATTACTAAATAGTGGTGCTATCAAATGGCACAGATTTTCATGAATTAGTTAGTATTCTAATTTTTTTGATCTGGGCTAGCTCATTCGGTTTGGCCTCATCCTCTAGCCAGCTGCAGTTTGATCGTCGCCCAAAGTAACATTTTATAAAAATTTTCTCACATTTTCGGTTTCCTAATGATAGATTGGAAATATAACTTTAAGAATATTGCAGAATAATAAATCCTCGACTTATAAGGAAATTTCTCGTGAAAAATTATGAGCCACTTTTAAGAAAATGACGTTTCAGCGTTACTGTAAATGTAAAATTTGAAGCGTTTTTACAAAAATCCTTTAAGTTTTCGAAAACCGTTATTAGACCTTTATCATTTGAAGAACTTCTACTCAAAGATGCAGATTGCTGAAAATGTAAAAATCAAAGACGCGAAAGATACTTTAAAAAAATTACAATTGTGAAATTACAAAAATAATAATATAGCAAACATTAATTTGTCATCTTAAACAGTGCAATTATCACCATCCGTTCTAAAAGTTTTAAGAAAAAAATTGGAGATGTTTTTGAGAAAATAGGGTTTGAGTGTTTCTGGAAATGCGGAAATGTGAGCTCGTTTACACAGAAAACTTTTGAGTTTCAGACATCATTTTAATCACATGTACTCAAAAATCTATAATGGGAACGTGTGAATACATAATGTGAATTTCTTATACATTAACGAATAAAACTCTAAAATCATACCATTATATTCTACGTCACGTAAATGAAAGAAACGAAATAGGATAAATATTTAACAATTCTATTGTACAATTCTATTGCCTTTTATAATTGTATACCTATTCGTGAAATTGTGAGTTGCAAGGGTTTGGTTTGCTGTTTGAAACATTCAAGGGCCCTGTAGGTCTAATATAGCTGTCACCAACCTTTTCATTTCTCGCGGAACACTAGAATCATTATTTCCAAACGCGTGGGTGTCTAATGTTTAAGAAGATAATTGTAGATATCAGATACTATCTTCTATTCTATTAATATAAAATGTTTAATATGTCGTCATAATTTTATCCAATTATTGATTAACCAAATATTGCATTCCAAATAAATCTTATATTTTACTTCTAGCAACCAACATTTTTCACTGGCCACCGGTTGACGCCCATTGATCTGATTTGGAGAACACTGCGTCGCTGGCGCATAGTCTTTGCATGCCCTCCTTGTCATCCCGATGCCTCGGATTCTCTGGCGATGAAATTGGTGTAAGCCGAGACAAGGGAGCACATAAAGATAACAAGAAAATAAAACCTTGTAGACAAATAATTTTCTTTTACAGACGGAAGATCGGAGAGCACGCCTTCACAAAATTATTGTAAATGAAGGAGAAATAAAAGATGCCATCTTTACGCCGCTTCATTAATTTTGACTTTGTCTTGGGTCGTGATTCCGAACAGGCTGCAGCGACCATTAAAAGTATCGGAAAATTACGAAGAGCAAAGAAATTCAAGGGAAAGATTGTCTTCATGATGTTGGATATTTTATATTCACAATAGGAAATAAAATCATAGTTTATGAATGTTACTTCCCATTTAATTGCAGTATAGGCACTAAAATATGTGAGGCATTAATAATCTTGTGATGAAACTTTATTACATTTAGTTTCACTAGAATTACTCAAAAATAACCTACCTTTTTTAAACTCCGAAGTACGAATCCTTCCTTATAGTACTTTTAACCAATTTTTAAATTCTAAAAAGGAATATTCACATTAATCTTAGTATGCTTGTTTAAATGAAAATTGAAGGCAGCTCTCACATTATTTACAAGTGAGAATGTGACAGTGAAAAACCTTTGTTGCATTAAAAACAGTAACAATTGTTTGTGAAGTTTGTGTGTAGGAGACTGTTTGTATGGTGTTCGTTTTACTTCTAAAAACACATAAGGGAGAAAACATTAAAGTGTCGACCACAAGTAGTAAAAGCAAGATGATTATTTAAATTACTAAACTCTTTCTGTTTAAAACTATAAGAGTTTTCGTTTAAAAAAGCAATTTAGCCTTCTAATAAACCACATTTTGTGTTCTTTGCTTTAAATGAAAATTAGTGGGGTTCAAATGTAGTATAGCTTGATACTTTACTTAAATACGACTTTAAGTGTTTCGTAGCACTTAAAATTTTACCTATATGGATTTTGCACGGTGATGATAAAGCTGGTATACTTTCATGTCAATCTGAGCCTCTGAGTGTGAGTATTCACGCATGGAAACTAGTAAATACCTTCGCTGTTTTTTGTTAGAAACTGTCACTTTCGGGTACGAGTTAGACAAAGACACACGCGGAAGTCATGAAAAAATAACAATTGAATACTGCACAGGAAACAAAACACTGGGGCGTCACGAACCAGCATGGCTGCCACTTCGAGCATTGAAAACGATCCCAAGATCATAAACTTGTAAATTTCCATGAATTTGTGCTAAACAATTATTTACACAACTTACACGAATGTGTCGAACTTTGATGTACTCACGTCAAAAGTCAATTTCACTCGCACGTAAAAGACCCGCTTTCTGTTGTAGGTACGTAAGCTAATAACTGCGAATTAATTATCTTATTTCCAAATTAATTTTTGTCCCGTTATTAGATTCAGAAAAAACAGTGATAACTGATAAAAACACAAAGATAAAACCGATGAACAAAAATCCGGTTTTCAGTTAGAGGATAGGCTATTGCCATGCGTAGACCGAAAAAGGTGGCTCAGGGCAGCAACTGATGTCACTGCAGTGACTCAGACCGAGAGATCCTGGTGTTGGAGCACCGACGGTGGCAGGATTCTCGTCACTAGCCAGATACGAGTAGCTAGGTCGACTTCTGTAGCTGTCTGCAGGAGGAGCTGTCTAGCGGTAGGCTGCTCTCATCGGTAGTTTCCCTTGGTTCCTCCACTCAATACCAGGCGAATGCTGGAGCAGTACCCTACCAAACGGGCCACGGACTGCACGCGATCTTTCATTCCCATTCCGTGTCCTATCCTACTCCTTACGGGAAAACCCCACAAGCCCACAGTAGGTTGGCGCCGGATCTCGCCATCCAGCGGGACAAAATTACCGCCACCTCCCGAGCAAAAACCTTACAGCACACTTCAGGGAATAATGACCTTATCAGTCCAGTAATGGCCTTAATGATTTATATCGTCCGGAATCACGAGTAATCAATCAATCCACGCGTGTCCTCTCTGCCCTCATCTGGCGCCGCGCGGGCGAGCCGCTCCGCCGACACAGGGCCATCGCTGCCATCTGGCGGCGAGGCGCGCAGGCGAGGCGCGGCCGCCTTCAGGATATAGATTTTACGAGGCTTCTACGGCGAGCAGTGCAGACGATTCGTGTCTATAAACGATCCAAAATAATTTTAATGTTTAACATTCACGCACGTTACCGATTTAATTTATGTGTAGCAGATATAATGTCACTATTAGAAACAGATGTCGTAGCTATGAAGCAAAATCTCATAGTGTCAAAAGCTCAGACATTTAATTTTTCATATATAGCCGTCGAAGTTCAGTTTTCTTAGCATGTATGAAAATATTAATTTTAATTAAAATATTCATTTACAGACTTTGTCATTTTTTCGTTATTAAATAAATAAAATTTAAACATAAACACAATTTAACTATAACTATAAACTATAAATAGAATTTAAAAATAGATTTTTACCCTATTTTTACGCAATAAACACAAGCATTAACGTCCAAAATACTTCCGTACTTGAAAATAGTGAACTGCATCAAATAATAATTACAAATTACAAGTACTAACAGTAATTACAAGTTCTCGTTTAATATTTGTGGTAATTAATCTGACCTGTGGAAAAAATTATCACATAATCTCAGAATTGGCTTGTTTTGCACTGATTATTATATATTTCCTTCTAATCATACAATCTAAAGGCAGCTTCTCAAAGTGAGAATGCACGAAACTTAAAAGGTACTCGAGCCCCCTAAATTTGTTGCAGCTAGAAACAATATATTTGGTCCAAATGGTATCAGAAAATCAAGCAATATTTTCTCTATAAAAACAACTAAATCATTAAATAATAGTTGCAAAATCAATCAGAAAGAACGACTTTTATTTACAAAATATATACGACCATATTGGTGTAAATGGCTCATTTCCCTCGGCCACTATGTATCAAGGACCCTAAAACGGGTATTCGAATTCAATTAAATTTACTTTAATTATATTTAAACGTCGATTGCAAGATCAATTTCAAACTTTCCTTTATAAATACGTGTGAAGAACAAAAATATGAAAAAGAGCAAGTTTTAAAATATGGCAATTGATTAAAAGTATTGAAATAATATATCAAATTCCTTAAAAATAATGTACGTTAGTACAATAAAGTTTTCAATAAAGTGAAGTAAGTTATAAAGTGAAAAAAGGTTATGTGGGCAGGAACCCCTGTAACAAAAACAATATAAATATTTTTTAGTGGAAACGTGTTTTAGTTCGTACGGTAGTCCGGGTATTTCTAGTTGGGAGCATGGCAGAGGGAGCATGGCAGGTGGATAGAGCGGAGAGGAGATACAATAGAAAAGATAGTAGTATCCCAAGCCCTCGATGGCTCGTTGATTCCCTCTCTTTTCACGGCGCCAGCCCGGGTTCGATTTCCCTGCCGGGACAAAATTAAAATTGTACACTTTCCTTACAGAGGTCTCAGTATCTTTTGCTGTGTGACTATGAGAAAGTCGACCCTAAGGTTAAGAAGGCCAGGGTATTCGGGGGAGGAATGTCTTCGTGCTCGCTATAAATACGAGCACGAACCCCTTATCACATGGCCGAGATGCTGGGCCACCGCTGGCCGGCCATGCCCCATTGCGGGCTGTCGAGCCAAGAACAGGAACTTATTATATTCTCCACCTCAGGGCGTAAATAAATGGGATTCGTCTTCCTGTCTAATTATTTATTATATTAATTTATTACCCTCCGACACCGCGGGCTACTTCAGCTAGTAAGTAATATAACGTGGGTTCGTCCAAATTTCAAGTTGAATCGTTAAGTAGAGCTCATATATTATAACATTTTCCTTTTCAAGATATTTTTGTGATCAGGCTGTGTTTTGATATTCATTTCACTGGACATAAACTTCTCATAACCTTATGAGTAGTGCACAATTTTCGTTGGTAAGGATTCTATGTGTTCTTTTATCTTAACAAGAATTTCGTAATTGATAACATGAAGTCTGTTTTTATGCTTTCCGCTATCATCTTTTTGTAGTCACACGTGACAAAAGAATTCCCGTCAGTCGTTATCATTAATATTTTATATTCTATTTACACTCGTGAATTATTGTTTACAAACATGACTGTGAGCACATTCTTTCTTCCAAATAATGAAAAGTATTGGCCCGTCGCTTACTGTTCCCTTCACCTCTCGCTCTTCCGTTTTTTAAGGGCACACTCTCGATCAATAACAAAGCAAGTAAATTCCATAAGCCCTGTAGCATCGGCAAATAACAAATGTGAATTATCCGTTGCGAGCTGCCCCCGAGTCGTCAGGCGTCTGAAATCATTAGTGGAAGAACTGAACATGTCCAGGACACATACTGTTTTTCACTCATCAAAGAGAAGGAGCTGCCTTATTTGAAGTCAAATGATCTCATGTTGAACTGCTGTAACATGTATTTCCATGCACTAATTTCTGTACAAAAACGGAAATGACCAATTCTAAACTATTACTTTTTTTCCACTCAGCCATTCAGTTCCATGTTCCTCTCTTCTTTGGTATTTTTGTCGATAGGCATTTTTCATAGTGATTTTTTAAAATTCTTTATGACTGAATCGTAATTTCATCTCCTTGTAATTTTCTGTGTATATCTGAAATTAATTTTTCTGCCTCTTGTAGATTAATTTCACAACGGGTTTTAGTTGTTTCTTTGACAAGTATTCTACTGTTGCATCCAAGTATTATATTTTTACCTTAATTTTGAAAATTAATTCAAAATTATCTGCTATTATTTGTATTGATATTGTTATAATTAGATCCCTCATTATATGATTCTTTTCATTACTTCTTAGAAGTGATTAAATAATTTTCCATGATTTCTTCACATCAAATTTATAAACATTATTTTCCATCTACTCTCCATATCACCTTAATTCTCATATTTTTATTCAGTTTTCCTACTTTCTTTTGCATTGTTCTGTTCCAAGTATGTCTAAATTCCTGTAAATACTTTAGTAATCTCAATAAAGTTTTTTGATGTATTTTCTTGGTTTTTCATATATTACAAAATGTAATTTTTTGAAAGATCTTTCACGCCCTTAATATGCACTTTTTTGCAACTTATAAACACTATTGTACTTGTAAGTTCACGTGCTTCAAATGAGATATAATGAAGTTTTTCGAAAACTCAAAAAAAATCTGTGAAAAAGAGCTTCAAATTTTGTATTTACAGTAGAGCTTAAACGTTCTTATTTTTTTAAATTTTTTAAAATTTTCTTAAAACGGTTCCATATT